TAACAACTATTTCCCTTTCTCCATTTTTTTTTTCAAAATTTGCACTATTATTTTTACACTCGTCATCATATTTCCTTTCAAGTTTTCTTAATTCACTTTTTTGGGTTGCAAGAAGCTATTGAGTACCGTTCAGGTTTCAATACGATACTGCAACTGTCATCCATTATTGGCCGAAATGATACCGTATGACCAGATGGCGTTCAGGTAAAAATCGATTTATCGATTACTTTCTGGTTGCTTTCTATTTTTGACCAAGCCTGATCAAAAATACACTTTCAAGGGATTTTTCATTGCGGATCAATATGACACAAGTCTGTACAATCGATGCATATGAAGGTTGTGCAAGGCGATATATCGATTTGACGCGCCCGTCCGCATGGACCGAACCCATTCCCAATGATATTTTGGGCTCGGACGAAATTTCACAGTGTCGAAGGTGAGAGTTCATAGGATCACTGATTAGCGATCAACTATCAACATCAACATAATAACTCAGTTGGTTTTTTTTCCTGTGATATGGGTCCGCGTCGCAAAAGCGCGCGGCACACTCATCCAGAGGCACGACTAAGAAGGCGATATAAATCAATAAATCAACTCTTTCGAGTCGGATTGTAGCAATACAGTTACAAAAATTGGGTCCAGTGAAAAGACAACCTTTTCAGCGAAAACCACTACCCGTGCGTCACGACATCATATCCAGGAACAGTGGACCAATACGATCTGCCTCCAGTATATCGTTCGACACAGGTTGGTCAGGTTTGTTTTAGAGAACGAAAATAGTCCCACTTAGAACCTCATTTATTTTTCATCTGTAAACGGTCAAAAGAACGGAATTTTAATTGAATCAGGCTCTTTTTAATGAGCCTAGCCTGGAATTTAGCCCACATAGCAAGACTACCCATGCTATCAGGGCACTTCGACTCTTGGTGATACGCTTTATTACCAATATACGCTACCGGGAGTGAAAGGTAGGCAACTACTTCGGGCTTGCAATCGCTCTGAACATACGAAATATCGAAAACATAGGGAATAAGACGTAAAAATAAAGAACTGTAAAAATGAACTGCTAGCGAACGCCAAAGAAAATGTGAGTGGATAGTGTTCCGCGAAGAGACACTAGCGCGCTAGAGAGGAAACAGAACGACGAGAGCATGGCGTGGCTTAGAACACTGCTGCTTTGGTCCTACATTGCGGAATAGCAGCCTGCATCGGTTTTCAGGCACAAGCTAATTCTCGTCACGCACTTTTGAGGACGAGAAAGGCCATTATTACTCTATGCAAATAGCTCTATTTTAGTCACAGGAAGGACTAATTAGAACTATTAGGTTGTCCCATAATTAGTGAATCACTTTGGGCATTTTTCAATTTTAATTTTTTTCTTTTTCATATGAAGTGTTTGCTCATCTAATCATACACCTTTGTTATCTACAAACTATTGCCTATACATGGAAATTTAGACACTGTCCTTTCTCTAGAATTCCAGGAGTTATTGATCAAAGAAATCGGAAGTCGGCTTTGAGGTCATGTCAGTTAGCGTAAAATTTCTTCCTGAAGAGTAATGGTATAAGTTAGACTAGGTTATCTTTCGCTGGTACGAGGGTAGGGCTTCACGGTGGAGCTGGAAGAACTGCTAGCCCAAAGGTCTCCAATTTTTTATGAAGATTTTCCGAAAGGAGGGGCCGAATGACCTCAGAAAACAATCAGACTTTGTCTTGCTTTGCCCTCAGATAGAACGCGTCGCCATTATGCTGTCGACGTATGCCTTATTCACTGACTCTAGTATTACTAGGCGGCGGTTCCCAGCGCACGGTCCCTTCTGTGCTCCACTAAAATCTCAGAAGTGCCGGACATACAGGTCCGACAGAGGTGGTTGGGCTTTTGCTGTCAGAACTCCCGAATCTCTTAAGCTAGGCTGCTGCTCCTTGTGATTTTGCTAGCACACGTCACCCACTTCACAACACTGATGAATACGCAGGATGATCACTGAGAGGCAGTGTGGGAAACCAGAGGGAACATGGCGATTCCATATCGTGTTTGGGCAAAGATTCCAGAGAAAAATTGTAGTTTAAGCCTCTGAAGGCAACATGTGAACGGGCTGACTAATTGCTTGAGTAGGACATGGTGGGTACTACTTGGCAAAACATGTTTCACGCCTTCAAGATTTTTCTTGGAATTTATAGCAATAAATGTAAAGTGATTCACTAATTATGGGACAACCTAATAGAAGAAGTTCAGTCGCAGAATGTGCCTCGAGAATTTTGTTTTCAGGACTTTGTTGCTCGACTAGTATTGGAGTACAGTACTACACGCGTCACTGAAGTACTGGCTTGACGAAGGATCCCAATTTGTACGAGTTGCTCAGCTATATTGGATACAATTTGGCCACTTGGTTCACCATTGGACACATTATCTGGTGAGTTCTATTACTGTTTTCGTCACGTTAGAAGAATAGGTGGATCTTGCTAGAGCGGGCGCAGCTCACTCCCAACTTCATCCATTCTGAATATTTCGTCTAATACTAATTGGTTCTGTTGCAGGAGCCTGTATGCACTGATTCGAGACGCTTTCTGCTGCTCAAATAAGGTTAGCAAGAGCATTCATTACTTAGTTCAAGTTTCAAATTATTGCAACGTTCCTGATCTATTTGATGCATTTATGTCGTTGTCCTTTATATTGATAGCAGTTAGTGAGGTGACTAAGGACACATCACGCGCATTACCAACGCGTAAAAATCTCTCCCGTTTATGGAGATACCGGTCCGTGCAGCACCATGGCCGTGGCCCCTGGCTGGCGGCCCTCAAGGGGAATACCGAATACCATACATCCCTATCCATTCGCAATGCACGCCTCGAAATGATACCATGCTGGTGTCTGTGTCTCTCTTGGCTCCATTTTATTTCATTCATTACCAAAATCTGGCATTTCACACAGGTGATGCACCGAATTTACTATTATATAAATAGCTTTGATAGCTCAGTCATGTGATTGAACCTTTAATTCATATATTGAAGTTCAGGGTTTTTTTCAGGTCGCACCTGAATCGCCACGGAGGGTGTTCTCGATATCGCAACCGGTGGAAATTCAGCCAGTCGTTGAGGTCAAGGAGAGCACGGACGGTGAAAGTGCCAGTTGAACCATTTTACCCCTCGTCAACTGAACCTATTGTTAGCAAACTGCCCCAGTTGTAGCCCCTAGGGTCCTGTAGGGAAAAACTTCCTCATACGCAGGGTTTATATCGATCTCTTTCATGATAAGGTGCCGGTGCCAGATATCACAGTCCTGATAACAAGATTTCTCTATACTTTATGCTCATATCCAAGGATTCTAATGATCGGTGCCAAATTTTGAATATGTATTATTATATTTATTACTACAGTATAACCCAGAATTCTTCTATTCCAACCATTTATTCCGTTGCCATAGAGCTGAGTGATACATTGATTCGTGTTAACCATGTACCCTATGACGACTTATCCACTCATGAAACTACCGCAATCCGGAATGCTCTTACATTGACATGTTCATTCCTTATGGAACTCTTCATTACAAGCCATGTTCCGATGTTTTAAACTGTTTTAGTTTTTTGATTGATAAATGATTGGCTGAGGTGTCACTTCAACATTATTTCGTACTTTGGTATCTCCAGTCATTTCTGGAACGATTCTGATAGCTGTGCGCAATGTATTAGGTTGTAGGGAAAGTCCTTGCGGTTTTCAAAAAATCTTATTTTTTAACCTGCTAAACGCCTGCCAGCAACTTGGCTCGTGCATATATAAGGAGAACATATATGTGCAAGTTCAGTATAATTATTAGCTATTACCTGTAGCTTATCACGTTTCTGCAATATGCAACTTTCACAACAGTACTTTCATGACCTCTTTACTAAATACGGGTTGATATTTGGCGAATCAGCAGCCTAATCCAGACGTCGCCAGTGCTGCGATGAGTAATCCGAATGCACTGCACAAGGTTGGTCTGAGCGCTTCCGCGAGGGGACTTCAAGCTTGAAAGTTCCACTTGATCGGGACGTGAACGCTAAGTCGACAATGATCGTTTGCGTAAGCTGGTGTGGGCAGACCCAAGGCAATCTGGTATGCACTCCACCGCGTGCAAGTTGTGCATAAGTCCTCCAGGGTGGCAACGGTCCTTGGGTAGCATCGCTCGCCGTCACCCTGGCATCAGTTGGGAAAGGTGGCACAAGCCTGGTAACAAGTGGCGTACGCCACGCTAATGACACAGTGCGATTGTCCGCACGTGCCGGAGTGAGCTAATGATGCAAGGCGTACAGTATGCGCGGTGGTTGGCCTGACGTCCGTGTACAAGGAATTGAGAAGTGCTGTCTGTAGGTCAACATCAAGGCCCGCCGACGCTGGGTTGACAAGGGTGACCAGCCTGAGCCGCAACAGAAGGCAGGTGTTCACCCTCTGAAGGTTATGATCTGTTTTTGGTGAGACTGCTAAGGCATTATCCATTACGAGCTACTGCCGCGCTGCGCTACTCTCGCGGTGGACTTGTGCTATTAGGAGCTGGATAGAATGGCCACCAAGATCGCAGGAAGCATCGAAATTGCGGCACGATCTGATTCCTGCACGACAGCGTCTTCGTCCACGCACTACAAATAAGTTGACCGTGCAAAAAGCAACGATGGAATTGGAAGCCACTGCACGTAACAGCCAGGAAACTGTTGCAGACAGACTAACGCACCTTTTTCTTTGTTGCTAGTTGCGATTGGTTGGTAAACTTTTCAAGTCGAACTCAGGGCAGTTCCTTGCTGGAGGCAGCCGAAGTCTGCCCGAAAAGTGGCAAAGAGTGATAGTGTGTGATGGTGATTGCCTTGCTTCCTCATGTGTTTTGTTTCTTTCAAAAAGTCAGTAAAACAATAACTGTCGAAAACCGCAAAGACTTTCCCTACAACCTCTCACGCGTGCACTGACCATGAATAGATCTTCTACACGACTTCTAGCGAGGGTGTTTGTAGAAGTCGTGTCGAAGAATCTATTCAGTGGTGGGATAGAGTAGCCCACGAGTAGCACAGATGTGCCGTTGTCGCGGCTCGAAAGTGCGCGACAATGGCGCTAGGGTCTTACAAAGTCAGCATTTGGCGACTAATCTTAGCATTTGGACGAGTTACGTAGCACACACCCATGACACGCAACGTGGATTATGGCGTAGCGGCTAATTCAATAGGCGCGTGTATGGAGCCATGGAGCAGGTAAGCCGTACAACTCGTCTAGCCCCGCCCTTCCTTTTTCAAGGGAATTCTCGTTTTGGGCTTCATCGACGGTTTTCTTTGCTTTTTTCATTTTTAGTCAATTCGGCATCCACAACTTCATTATCAACCGCTCTGACCCCACACATTGGATCTGGGGTGTTGCATTAAGCTAATGATCGAATCTGGGAAACACTTAGCTTGCACGCTAATCTGTGTACGTGTCGCTACCGCACATATCAGCGACCCACAAACTAAACACTAGAGAAGCATCTGCATTTGAGAGCCTTTAAGCGTTCCCTGATCCGTTTATTTTTTTTGCCGGAGGAGTTGACTTCTTTGGAATTAAAATACATCCATATTTGAGATGAATGGGAATGCCTCTTCCATGGCTGTTTTATGAGATAGCTGGGTCTGCAGCTGCACCTTAGCGTCCATTTCAAAATGAGGAATCCACGATAAGTTCGAGGTCGAAGAAAGGGGAACCTACCTAGAGAGCGTTGGCGTTGTTGAGGCCAGCACCGATAAGACATGCCTAACACCAACACGCAAAAGGGGTACCAGCTTCGATAAAGTCTGCCTAACCCAAAACGCAAAAGGGGGTACTTTCAGCTCTAGGTTGCTGTTCTGGGGGTTTATCCATCCTGAGCAACTGACCATTCTGTCTGGAGCTTTAATGGGCCCACTTTTGTAAAATTGCGACTTTTGAAGGACAAGTATTCGGGGTTCAGAACCCACAATTACATGACTAGAGAGTACTGGGTACGCATGCGCAAAGTAGCGCCGTCTTTCTTACTTGAAGCGCGCACTAGACCTTAGGGCGCATGGATTTAAAGACTCCCAGGACATGGTCGCCCACCGTTCGATATCTTGTCTGCGTCGCTGCGTTGATCTGCTATGCTCTCTCTTCTCGGACTTCTCTACCCCTCTCGCTCACATTATCTCTCATCTCCCTGCCTGTCTTTTGAACTTCTCCACAGCATGGAGCAAAATGCTCGTATTTCCTGTGTATTTCAGGATTTTCTTTCCTTTTTCTCCACTGGCGGTCCCATCCCTACTCTAATTTGAGTGGGGTCAATCCATCAATTTAATCCTGATTCTTGCCTTTAAGGCGCGAAATGCCATACCATTTCGGGCTCCGGCCGCTGAGGAACTTTCCGGTGTGTCGTTCCCCTGAAAACCTACTAATTGTAAGGCTCATTTATCCGCAACTAGCGACGAGAGCTAAATGAATCTGTCTTGCGAAACCTGTTTAAAGTGTGAATGTGAAACGCTTTACGGCTTCAAACAGGTTGGCGTTGACACGGCAGTTCCAGGCAAATGGTTTTCTCATCACACCTATCAGTATTCACTTGGACCGGTCCTGCACTTCGTGTCTGCAGCTCTTTTGACTCGACACCGTCTACGCACCTACCAGAATGGTGGTGTTTCCAATCTTTCTGTTCAGAATTAATTTCTAATTCTGATCTAAAAGTGAATAGAGATGGCAATTTAATAGAACAAATCGAATTCAACTTCATCATATCACACTCTTAACAACATATATACAAAATAACGCTAGGAAATACTCTGGCAACGAAACGGTCGCAACGTTGAACGTAAAGCGCCGTCGGGATGATCGACATCAGGACTGGTTTCAAAACCAGCAGAATGACTTGCGGGCACCATGTCGTGGCGCATCAGAAGGCAGGTTCATTCAAGAAGTCCAAAGACAGGGCCATTCACGAGGAAATTCGAAGCAAAATAGACAAAAAACAACTAATAAATGTCAAAATATGAGCACCATTCAAAAAATCAATGTTTCAGAAGCGGAGCAACTCCTTTGCGGGGGCCGATGGCTTCACCATTGTACAACATTGCCACTTGAATAGCGCGATTTTCTCGCATAATATCGGGACCGAGCGGCACAAATTGGTCGTTGCTGACACCAAGCGCTTTACAAGCATGGCAGAGTCGGTAGCATGAGTTCGGTGCCACTCGCCAAAGGCGGGAATCGTTTCGCTGCTCAGGCGGCATCTGAAATTTACGGTAGCTGGGTTTTCTAGGAGCTTGTATATAGCCAAAAACAACGGTTCCTCGGAACCTATTCCTTTTTTGGCTAATAAAGCGACTCCTTCAACGGGACGGCACTTGCAGAGATCCGCGCCGCCGCCAAAAGTGAAGCTTGTTTCTAAACCTAGTATAAACGGTAGTGCTATTTGAAGCATCTATGCAGAGGCGCGGTTACAGAAGGAACGCGCTGTATACACTCCATATCTCGGAGTCTGTATTGGCCGATGTCAGACTCTGCGAATATGGAAGCGATTCCATTACTTCTCATATTCAAAATCGCTCAATCGCGCCATGCGGGCCGCGCTCACCTCGTGTCAGAGTCAACCCTGCGTTGCGCAGTTCGCAACGGCACGTTGAGAGATCCTCAACGCACGCTGTATGGGCGGAGACGCAGACGGCTCGAGCATGCGAGTGTGAATGTTCGCGCGAGAGAACGTGTCTAATCGGGCGAAACTGCGCAACGTGGCCGTTGAGAACTGCGCAACGCAGGGTTGACTCTGCTCCGGGTGCAGGGAGCGATCAATCGCTGGCGCGCCCCCTCGATCGATACGTTGACTGCGGAGCTGCGCTCCCTGCCACAACGGGAGTGATCGCGCCCATCGCGCGATTGGAGCGATTTGGTCATGATGGGAGTAATGTGAATCGCGCAATCGCAGAGTCTGACATCGGATTAGGCGGGGCTGCGGACTTGGCGTGGAGCCAGCCGCACTTGACAGTCGTCGCACCGTATCTCCAGCTGATTTTGCTGACGCTGGTAATTATCGAGAAATGCAGCAGTATTTTACTATCTTCTGGTATTTTTCTAAATACTATTCAACGACTGCGGGACTCTATGATTAAGGTGAGTCAGTTTAAGAAAAATGGATGCTGTATTCCACGAATATTGCATGAGTTTTTCCTATAAAAGTAAAAACCATTGTCCAGTTTTTGCTTATTCTATTTATTTTCTTTTTATTTTCCATTGACCTTTTTTTCTATTCGTCTTGTTCTTCATCGCAGCTTCTTCTATGTGTTCTGATTGTTGTGCAGAACACTATTTGAAGCTGTTTTGAAGCAACCAGTCGTTTTTGCGCATGCTTTTTCCAGGTCATGCTGCAGCCGCTGCTCTTTTGGTGAGTTTTTCTTTTTATTTCTGTGTTGCTTCTTTTTTTTCTATTCGGCTTGTTCTTCATCACAGCTTCTTCTATGTGTTCTAGTTGTTGTGCACAAACACAATTTTAGACTGTTTTGAAGCAACCAGCCGTTTTTGCGCATGCTTTTTCCAGGTCATGATGGCTGATAAAAATAAAACTCACCAAAAGAGCAACGGCTGCACTATGACCTGGAAAATGGGGGCGGCGAAAAAACGACTGGTTGCTTCAAAACAGCCTTCAAATAGTGTTCTGCACAACAAACAGAACACATTAGAAGAAGCTGCGATGAAGTATCAGACGAATGGAAAAAAGGGTCAACGGAAAATAAAAAAGAAAATAAATAGAAAAAGCAAAAACCTGACAATGATTTTCATTTTGATAGGAAAAACCATGCAATATTCGTAGACTACCGCATTCTTTTTTGATAAAACTGACTCACCTCTTTATAAGGATGTCTGCCGTGGTCGAATAGTACCAGAAAATAGTAAAATACTGCTGCAATTCCCGTTAAATAGTGGAGCCAGCAGAATCAGGCTGGGAATACAGCGCGACGACTGTCAAGTGCGGCAACTTCTACGCCAGAGTTCCGTAGCCCCTCCTAATCCGACTCCGAGATATGGAGTGTATACGATATGGCGCAATGCGCTTCCGGGGGGGGGGGGTGCAGTCTGTAGGGCAACTAGCACTAGGCCTAACGGAGAGAGACGAGTCCCGGAGAGAATGGAAACTCCATACACGCCTCGGAAACGCTCTTCTTTTCTAGACTTGTTGTTAGTACTCAAAAATGAGGTTTCCTTTGGATCCGACGAAATTTACGGGGATGCCCCCCTTACCCCCCCGGAGACCACATTACGCCACTGGAATGCTGAAAGGTTTACCCGAAATGCGAGTCTTTCAATCCATGTATACAGAAAGAGTATTCGTGCGTACGATTATTGACCTTTGAAACTCCTAGATTTCGCCTGGGGTTCTTTAGTGTCAGCATGGAAAATCGTTTGATTGTTTCATATGCGTGAAAGGTGGCTTACCTTGGCCCTAGCACAAATTTGTAAATGATGAAGTTGAAGCAGTAATTGATTGATTTGTGAATTGATTTGCTATTTGGTTGCTATTGATTGATTTAATTTTGCTTTTACTCGTGATCATTTGTTGCTCACGACAAACACCGAATATCTCCTTATGTTAGCTGAAATTAGTTTTAGCGGAATGCTTCGTTGGTCCGCCATGGAATCCCTGAAATTCAGTCGTCATTGTAATCTCGGCTCACCTATGGTATCCACTTTTCGCCGCACACGGTCCAACACAGCGCTAGCGACCACCTTCACTCCTTCCCATGTTTCTCGAGCTGTCGGCACCAACTCCGATTCGCCGAGGATGAAGCCGTCCCAGTCTGAACGATAACTGTAATTGTAGGGGCAGAGTTTCCCTTCACTAACAGGAAGGGTCTTTCAGGACATAAAGCTTTTTTTCAAAAAATGGGGTTATGTTTTGTTGGTAGGGTATGTGGGAACACAGAACCCATGGATCCGGTTTTTCATTGAACGGCCATCAGGATTGCAGAACACGGGCGAAAGAATGGTCCAGAGCGATTAACCGTGATGAGAATTCTGCAAGTTATGATGACTTCTGTCAGATTGCGTCGCAGAACATGGTCAATTTCATCTATTCTCGACGAATTAGGCCATGGGATGCAATTTGGTGTCGTCAACTCTTTGGCAAAAGATTAGTCATCACGGGGATGAATCGATGTCATCAGCACTGTTCATTTCCTGGAGGGCAGAATCAAGAGTACGTTCTGTATTCTTCGTATGAGCCCCTACAACATGCAGGAAACCATTTCGAGAAAGCGCTCTATGTCCTGAAAAGCTTCCCTTGTAAGGAAATTTCTTTTGTCGGAATCCTCTTTATTTCTATAGATATGCAACATTTGATGTACAACTAGTCAGCAAAGTGAATCTACGAATCGTGGTGAGGAGCCACGCCCTCTGGATAACTCCGCCCTTTCGAGGCAATGACTGTCAGGCGTAAGCAATGATCAATCTTTGGCACTCACTTTTTTCATCGGGGCGTAGTTCCAGCAGATACACGTATTTTACGCCACCAGCATGCTTTGCCCAATCTTCGCTACCACCAGAAGCAGGATCTGTGAGAAATCGACTGTATTGATTGATGTTTCAACAAGTGACTCATGGACATAACATAGGGTGTCCGCTCCACTTCCAACAACGTATTTCGTGCCATAGACCTTTTCCAGAGCTCTTGCCGCTTTCTTACCCACGTCGTACCTGAAAAAAGCATATTTTGTTGGAGAATAGACTTTCTGATTGATTGATTTTCTGGAGATTGGAGTGGCGCATTCATCATCTCCTTAGGTTCGTAGAGAGGTAGGTTGGAAGGCACACGCATACTCGTGAGTACGGGTCCATGACTCGCGGAGACGGGAACGTGTGAACGATGATTGGGAAACGATAATATTCGCCGTAAAATGATTGCGAACATTTGAATTAGTACTTCAGTGGGACATTCTTCCACGAGAAGGCACTCTAAGATGGGTTATCCTAGGGTTGAAACCCCTTCTGAAACAGGGAAAGAGAGCTGGAAACAAAGAGTTCGAGAAAGAGCTCATAGATAAACCTAGTGATTATAACTGGTGCGGATAACCTTTACTTTAGTAGCTGTAGGTTGAAGTGAATTTTAGGCCGGATACTCTCCTTCCCCAATCTTAGATGGACTGCTGCAGGGGCCTTGTTCGGGGCGAAATCGGCTGTTTTTTTTGCTTTCTTTTCTCTTTTTCGGATCACTGTACACTTCCAACTTCATTATTCAATGCTCTTCCACACCACTTTGACCCGGAGCTTGCCCTTGAATATCGGCGACATCCGCAAATACGACCATGCATCCTGTCAAATACCTCTACCTTTCTGGATGAAAATCGAGGGCATGGCTGATCCTGAGACCCACGTCCATCAGCCCAACACTCCTATCAGCTTTGCCTGCCTAATGTCTCTTGCGTTCTCTGCTTTCATTATATTTCTGTATAACCGATAGAGCTCCCCTGCTAAATGGCTTTCGTGCTAGAATCGACGCAAGTTGCCACGTGTGATGTTGATACAGAAGAACTTCCAGAAAACCTAAACGATCCAAACCACGAAACCAGCCGCACATCTTGTTTGACCCGTTTTCGCGATTAGACGCTTCCCTATGGTCTGTGAACTAACAAGGTGTCATCCACACAACCACCGATCCATAAATCGCTAATCGCATTCTTGGTAAAAACTCCGTTCCAAAACAGAGTTTCACGTCCGTTCTTCTGTTGGCAAGAGAAAATAATGACTAACGGCTGCCGTTTTCATTATGGGTGTTTGGCTATTTCGACAACATGATCGGGAATTTAAAGCGAGAGATTACGATAGTGTGTGTGTGCAAGCATGGAAGTACATACACGCACCAGTTTGAAGCATGGAAGTACATACAAGCACCAGTGGAAGCAGTATTCAGGGGCCTAAGGAAACAAGATGTAGCCTTTTCGTGGTCAAAGGCGCGCTAGTTTAGCGCCCTGGAGCTGCCAACCCTTCCTGAGCTCCTCCTGCCGCCTGTGCTCCACTCTAGTGTGTTGCTAGGAACATCATTGTTCTTATCGTTTGGCTGAGGTACCCTACGTCGAGTGTATCCTATAACTTCTTCATGGAATGCGTCCTCAATGAAAGCATGATTATTGCTGGATTGATAGTGGCTATCGGTTTGAAATGGGCAAACGATTTCTTAGTTGTTTGCTAGTTCGTCCATTATCGGAGGTCAGCGGACAAAGAACGGGGTCTTATTTTGCGCGTTCTTGACGGATTTCTGTTTTTTTGCCACTGAGCATTATTCAGCATCCCCACTTCCACATGAACCCAACGCAGTCTTATCGTAATCCGCCCGCCCTTGAGTCAGTCGAAGAGTCCATTTGCAGAGTTTCGCCTTCCGCATGTGGCTGATCTCGTAAATATGCTCGAATCTGGTCTAAAGCAGGTGAAAATTTCTCACGCCTAACAAAAGTAATTATTTTGGAATGCGCTGAAAATGGTGGATGTGGACGTAATGCTTATGTACCTGAAGTGTACAATAGGTTTGCTCATATTTTGCGCAGTCTCTACTAGTTAACTTATTACCACCTGTCGTTTTGTAGTGTCTGCCCATTACCGGCTCGCTTTTATTACGCCATTCAAAATTATATTACTCCTTTTGAAATTGTTACTGCATCAGCCTCTGTGCCGCCATTGATTTCCCGCGCAGCTAGCCTGTGCTTTTACACTATTGCGCTCTATGCTTTGGTTCTTTGGCACCCCTCCTCTTTCCCTGCCTATAAATAACCGGCCGAATCCTGCATCAGTAACATTGCCAGCCCGCGTGCATCGCGGGTATGCGACGTCGCAAACTACCACATCTGACGATTTGTGGGCATCGCCGGTATGCACATAATTATTTGGCTACCCTCACCTTTCCTAACACTTTTTTGGATACGACAACCTCCAGCGCGCCTTCCGACGAATCTGTTATGTGTCCGTGAGGGAAACGCACGCACGAAACTGTCTCTTGAAGGCATCTCCGAGTATGCGCGCGAACGGCAATACGCGGTCCTAATGACACTAATGTGTCCGGACTAAACGCCCGAAACCCGTCGCGCGGGCGTCAGTGGTTAAATGGTCCTGAGTTTCGTAACCGTTTGAGCGCTGTCGTCCGTCTTCCATCGACTGCTATAAGGATGAAGAAGTGAGTGATCACTACCTGTCCTCTGAGCAAAAGAAAGGAAGGGAATTGATTCCTAGATATCTAGCTAAAGAGTTCCTGACCGGACACCCTTTATAGCGCAGCAATAGAATCGAAATTGTCACAGTGCAGGAAAAGCTCGCTCGTACTCTTGGCTAAATTCAAGTAGAGGTCCAGGAGTGCTGTCAATAGGCAGAGAAAAAGGAAAAAGAAGCAACGGAACGATGAAAACAAGGATTTGTATATACTGGGCTCTCTCTGGGGCCACAAGAAACGGGCAGGGAGATAAGAGATACTGATTGTGAGGGCTAGGAGAGGAAAAAGGGATAGAAGAAAGAGAACATGAACAAAATATTCTCGGCGGGAGGTTTGCTGAGTGGAGCATGTGCATCCTAAGGCTTCACGCCTTTTCCCAGGAATTTTGTTCGAACTTTCTTGAACTGGGGCTTCATCGACCTAATCCAGAAGTACGCTTTTGAAAAATCAATTTCAGTCACGAATAAGTCATAAAAGGTTCAAAAAATACGAAAACACAAAACGAGTCATGATTTCCGAATCAAAGCCCGTTCATAGAGTAGGAGATCAGAACAAGGTGATAAGTTGGTCAAGTATGAAGATGAATCACGGCTACGGTCTCTGGGCAACAAAAACCACTCACCAGTTCCTGGATATCACCAGGATAGCTGTCTTTTCGGTGACCGTAAGGATGGATCCAAATCTGTGAGTAAGTATGAAGGGTAATGAAAGCGTCGACACGGCCTCGATAGCGCCTTGACAAGATCGCATCACGTATCGCCCTGAAAAGTTTCAATTCACTGTCTGAAGAATAAGGGTGAAGCGCTGAGTAGTTATTGATCTTTTCTGGATACGCCATACGCTCGGCTTCCATTCGGAAGCGTGATGGCTTCAATCACTCTGTGAGGTGACTGGAGAAAGAAGTAACGATGTATGAAGGTGTTTTCGTCCTTCCGAGCGAGAAGAGCCCGCATTCGGGGTCAGATAGAGGTAAGCAACAAGTAGGGAGGGAGACGACGGTAGAGTGGGCGAGCATAAGATATACGATAAATCACATTTCTTTAACCTATATAGGATACACCGTCGTTTTTGATTCTCCTAGTAAAAAGGAAGGAATAAATGGGTTGTAATTACCATTGTAGTTATGAGGGTGCAAAAAAGTAGTTAATCTTACCAAAATTCAATGATTAAATTGTTAAAAAGGGTGTCTCAGACAGGAATAAGGTGATGAAAACAGAATATACAAGCAGAAATTCTTATACTTTTGTTTGGTATTTTTTGGGCTTTTTCGTAACAATTTCATTGGATCGTGTTCAGCTGTTATATGCATACTTTAAACATCCATTTGATGTTGAGATTTTCTTCGCGGGGAGCGGGCGGGACGGGGGGAAGGTATCAATAGTTAACCTGGGTGCTCACTTTGTCTCCGGCGTGCACTGAAAGCCACCTGTGCCTTGTTAAGATTTCCGAACATGTGTCGTCACTGGAGGCACTTCTGACAAAAAAACGGAAACAAAAAAAAAAAAAAAAAAGATTCGGCAAAATTTAGCTCTCTTTCAATTGTCTGTATAAACCCATGTAATGATTGTTCTCAGAAGCAGACTCTGAAACAAAAAAAACTGAGAGCCGTATGGGGGAGCAAATGCATGAAGCCTCTCTAGAGAAATTTCTAAGCTTGAGTATGCTGTAAGAGCGCAGCAGTTCCCCATGGTACGTTCTGGTGGACAGGCGTAATTAGCGCAAAAAAGGAGAACCGTAGGATCGTGAGCCTTTTTTTTCACGATTGGGACTGAAAGTACGAATAAAATCTTATCTGTACACTCTTTACTAGCTGCCATTTGTTTTAGGAGATGACTTCTGCTCAGAAGCGATATTGAAATTCACTTAAGCGTGTATGATTCGGTGTAGTCACCGCGATCGTAATTGAATGCGTGTCTAGCCCTCCTATTGGGCTGTGAAGTTTAGTCCCCATATGTAGGCATTGGGGTTTTTAGTTTGTTTTCCAATAAAATTTTGATGGTAGCGAGCAACCATATATGGTTCTCGGCTGGTTCGGATAAGACTTGTTCCGTCATTTGCTCCACGGGAATTAGAAAACAGGATCTTTTGCTACCCTAGCTAGTATACCTTTTGACTCCGCTAAAAGCCGCTTCTTACTTGGCGCAATAAGATTTTTGAGATGCTGACCTTTGAAATGAAAATCGAAATTTCGATTCAGGTCCACACCGCGGCAGCAGCGATTCCGTCCCCAGCTGTCCTTGCGACATTGCATTTGGGATCGATTTTTTCTCCACAAGCGAATCTTCGAATAAGAATATTGGTTGGAAATTTTCAAAAAAAAAACTGAATGTGTATTTCAAAAAGCAAACATGAGGATTCGTTGAGGAGCGAGTGAACTCGTATCCATCTGGGTTCACACATGGCACTATGACGAAAGTGATTTCTTCGAGGAGACTCTTGATGGTTGGATCGGTGTCATAACGGGAGGTGAGCTGAAATAACATGAAGCATGAAGAGGCTGGCGTTGGTAGTCTGTTTAAGGATTAGCCAGGCACACAAGCTGTGTACGCATTTGGATGCTCATGGTCTTATACGAAAATAGAAGGTGGAAGGTCTCACAATGGCAGTAGTTCGCAGCTGGGTGAACTTGTGTGGACATACAGAGCTGGAGTTGACTTTAATGAATCGATCCATGAGCGGCATCAAGCAGAGCCGCTTTACCCTTACGCACTTCACCCAATTTTGAACTGGATTAACAACAAATGGTCACGATACTCCAAGGGCTGATCTCTATTCTCATGTACGGTTATAGCTACTCAATTAAGTCGAATACCGGGCCTTATGAATGGGTCTGTTCAATAAGATGCGAATTGTGAACGACTTTTTGGATCGAATAAAAGTCTTGAGGAGACTATAACTTGGTCTAGAAATCATAGAAGAAAGATTCTGTTATTCAAGGTCCATGTTTTTTGAAGGTTCTTGTACTGTAAATGAAGCGCTTGATGGCATCAAACTAAAGGATATTGTTAGGCTATGCTGAGTCTTTCTAGCACATCTCATAGTACTTTTTACCTGAAAGGTACCGTAGTACCTGTTATATGAAACGTGTGCAGTCATAGATCATTGACAGTTGACCGGTCAGGAAGGGGTTCCTCTCACCTTTCTCTCTTCTTTGTCTATTTTTTCACGGAATTTCCACCCAGGTGTGACGTACCTACCGAAACCACCGGCTATAAATCATTATGTGGCCGTTTCACTAAGATTACGCCCCCGTATAGGACTGCTTTCAGAAAGGTGTATGACAGCACTCAGTGGATGCTTACCTGATGGATGAAGTACAATGCAGTATGTGGTGCGGCCCACTCACGCGCATGGATTCCTCCGTCGATCCAGAAAATTCGCTTCGATCGGTCATGGCCGCCGATCTGAAAGTGGACAATGTTAGCTGCATGACCAGACCTCTTGAAAACTCGAGATCAAGGCAGCGCGATGGCTAGAGAAATTGAATGATATGAAGAGGAGAACGTGCGGTAATGAATTCCTGATAACCGCAGCCGTCAGATTGAAAAGGTGTGAAGAAGTGTTTACACGACATTCTGCAAAGACAAAAACAATTTCGAAGGGGAACTTTTTTATGTGTATTGATTTCTCAGCTCTATATTCTGTATTTAGTATGCAGTAATGGCTCTATACAAGTGGGGTGGGCACGCCCAGCTTTTCACGCATGTCAAGTGACTGCCCTCACCCCCACCCCCTAGATTGGCTACACTCCCCCTGGCTCACGAATTCCCCGATTCTCGTGACAGTATAGTAGCGGGCAGCAGTCCCACTTACATACATTTCTGTTCAAAAAATGCGGCGTGCCCACCCTACTTGTATAGCACCGCAGTATTTAGCTTGAAGGCAGTGATTGCGATGATTGCAGGACGAATTCGGTGCTGATGAATACATCGCTCGGCTCTGGTGGAAGAGAATCAAGAGGCGATTCTATGCACACAACTCATGCGCTAAATGGTCTAGTCCACAAATGACGTCATCGAACCCGCACCGCCTTCCAACCATCGCGATCACTGCCTTTAAGTTGCAACTAACAAGAAGGCGTATGCAATTATCTCA